AGGAGTAAAGGGTGTCTGGGAGTTTCAACATTTTGTGTCACCTTGTAGACAGACACTGTTTTCCAAAGTCAGTTATGTGATGAAGAAGATATTAAGATTAAATGAGCAGTGCAGAACTCAAAAGCAAACCCATAATTATTAATAGATATTTAAATTGGCAGGCAATTGATTTTTAAATTGTCCTTTCACCCTTGTGTGTAATGCGGCTTGCCTCACAGTGACAAATTAGCAGCAGCACTGTGCTGTGACTGTTTCTACTGGAAGGTTCTCATTACCATTCAGGGGTTTTGCTGGCTCATCAGTGAATCGTGGACAGCATTTCAATCACTGAAGTGTGGCCCAGAAACCAGAGAAAGGATCGGAAATAGAGTCTATAAAAGGCTTTTCTTAAATTCTAAGATTGATTGGGTTCTTGAATAGGACTAAGTTCTTTGGCTTCAGTGTTATTATTTCTTATGTATCCCAGAGGAAGTGACAGTACACTCACCCCCTCCATCCCTCTCTTTAAATCTTAGTATTCTTGTTTATCTGTCAGGAAAATAAGAACAGCAACATGTAATGGACTGAATGTGCTTTTTTTTTGAATTGAAAAGAACAATCCCCTTAATCCCAGTAGCACTGGGCTGAGATCTAATGTTTTGATCCAACTTTCATTATTTGCCAACATCTGCAAGATAATTATACTATCAGCTATAAGAGGATCAAGTTAAGCATCTTCTTGGACAAATGATTTTCAGATACTAGTCAAAAAGTAAATCTATTTTTTAGTTGCTACTTGGCATTTGTTTTATCTAGGTTTTGCTTAATCAGAGTTCTAATTAGAATTAGTTGCAATTTTGACTGTCAAATTAAATATTTTTAAAAGAGTAAAGGTTTCACAGAGCACATTGCTTTGCTACCATTTCCAATGGGGTAGGTTCTGTATCTCAAGAACAGAAACTCCAATCAGACAGGATAAAACTAATAAGAAAACCTAGACTTTTGAACTTGAAAATTCGTATTTTCAGGCAGTCTTGTGTAATTTTACAAGACTATGCTTTGATAAAACAAAAGCAAGTATTTGATCTTCAAAGACTTCAAAACCCCACAAAGCGGGATTTTGCTCTTTGTATACTTTGTGTTCTGACAATAGCTCTTGTCTTTGTTCAACATTATTCCATTCTGCTCATTTTTCAAATACTTTGACCATATTTAGGTTTCCTGAACAATTTGGATTGTGTACCCCACACAACACATCACCTTTGAGAGAGTGTGATCTAACAAACTTGTGACAATCCTGTTGCCACTTCTGGTATTTTCTCTTCTCTTTTTCTACATTCAGAGTTCACACCTCATCATTATTTCTTTTTATAACCTGTGTTCAGCATTGTATTATTACCAGTGAACAAAGCACATGAACCGAACTCATACTAGACTTTAAGAATAAATGTTAGATTAAAATTCCAAGTATCTCAGAGGGCAAAAAACCTTCTCAAGGTTAAAATTGCTTTGCAGTTAGTATAATATTAAAAAAAAAGAAAAAATGTAAGGTACAGAGTATTTTTCATGTTCACAAGGAATTGGTCGGTTGATAACAGGCTTAAATTTCGTCAGGGAAAATTTTAGTTAGACTTCAGGAAAAATAGATTTAACCATGTTCATTTAGTTGAACATTAGAAGGACAGTCTGTTATTTGAATATTTTACAATGTGAATAGACAAGCCTCTGTCAGGAATTGTTTTAGTTAATTGAAGGCTACTGTCAGGCAAAGGGATGGATTTTATTGCCCCTTCAAATCCGTCTCTATTGTATGTGCCTCATTTTCAGTTGAAGGTGCCCACTTTTCAGATTTATGTAACCTTTGACATGGACAGGTGTCTATGAAAGATGTTTTGCCCTCAGCTGTTACATGATCTTTGCAGATATTGAGCTTGAGCTGTTTCATTCTAGAGCAGCACAAGGCCAAGTACAAGGTGATATTCTCAAGGTAACATGACCCTAAGCAAGGCAAGCAAATGCCTGCCCCAGCTGGCCCTCAACTATTTAGTAATGTATTATCTCCCCACACATACTGTCAGATGGTTTGAGGTTAACGAGAAAAAGAGCTGATGTGGATATCTGGAACAAAGGGGTGAATTTCTCAGCAAGCTAACCAAGGCAAGAAAGTATTTTGTCTACTGATATTACCTAACAATCTAAAGATTCAGCCAGCCCTTCAGAGACTGACATGATGATGCCTCTGATGGAAGGTGGAGGTATATTATTAGTTAAGTATTCCAAGTTTTCCTTGCTGCTTACCAGCACTTTTCTAACATTGTCCAGGTTTATTCAGCAGAAAATTTTCTGACACAATGTTGTCATTTCACCAATGATAGTGCTGAATGATGAGTGTCATTGGCATGTTGTGAAATCTGTCTGAACCCTCTGTGCACTCTTTTCATTTACACTGGAATTACTGAAAGGTGAATGAATTACTTTGGGTAGATTCCTCTACAGCCTGCAACTAAGAGAAAAAGGGAAGAAGCAGTTCTACCAAGAACAGCTGTGACTACTGTAAGATGAAGCTATCAGATCATCTTCCTCCGGTTGTAATACCAGACATTGCAAAGGCTCTTGAGATGTGCAACTATACAGGAACAGAGATCTGTTCACATCTGCAGGAGACATTGAAACATCTGCATACAGCACAGTGGTTATGTCACATGCAGTTGGAGCTTGGTGTTTACTTAGCTGTTTATTTGAGGTAAGGATTATGGGCCTACGAACTGAACTGAAATTCACTTCAGGGTCAGGTTTGCAGGAGGTTTTAAGAGTCAGTTATTGGTTTGTTTGAGACTACTTCACTGTCAGTAGATTAGACAGAAAAGTTCCTCTAAAGGAGATTGTAGGGGATCCTCCAGAAAGTGTTGATGGAGGGATTGTGGCACTCGGCTCTCAACCCTTGCTCTGATGACATATAGAAACAGTTCTGACAGTAAATGGATATTGTTAATTATTGTTAAGTTGAGCTGAGAAGCCAAAGGCAGCCAAAAGCAATGCTACCTCACATCCTCTGTGTCTGCAAGTATCTCCCAACAATGGGTGTATTTCAGCAGCACTAGCAGAACCAGCATTTGTCCTTTGCACTTTTTCAGTCACTGATTTTAATTGCTGATCACTGCAAGTGAAGAAGCAATTAAATATGAAGTGTGATTTGAGGCCTCAGTTCTGTATGATACTGAGCATGCCTGTATTTGTATATAACTGTACATTGTTATGACTCAGCTGGTCATAAATCTGGGGCAGTTGAGGTCACTCACCATCTTGCAGGATGAAACCATGGAATGAAATGTCACTTCTAATCAACAGCAAAGACAGAAATAGTGGACTTATTATGTGTATTGATTGAATGACCAAATTAAGAATATTTGAGGATAATATCAGAGAGATGAGGAAACTTTCATTTCTTTGTTGCTCTAGCACACATTTTATTTACAGTTTCCTGACAGAAAAAAAAGGCTCTTGGCTCTTGGTGTCAGTTTCTAGTGGACCACAGACTGCTCTGATAACTGCAATTGCAATGAGGAATGTGACAAATCCACATTTGAGGTATGCTGAGTGCCAAATACTAGTGTTTCTCCCTGGGTCACAAGTATGGATGTGTGTCAACGCAAGGCAGGAGCTTGAGAGCAGTAACAGTAGCTACAATGGGAGTGGGAGAGATGAGAAATTAATACTGTCACTAAAAAGCAGGTGATAGCTCAGAGAAGAACAGAGAAGCAACATTGCCAGTGTCATGATTTTAGTCTTAAGATACCTTTTATCATTTAACAGCATCTACAGAAAGATGTTTGGTTTAGACTTTCCGGGTTCCTTTCCTTACAAGTTTTCTACACTTATTTTTATCATTCTCTGATATTCTCTGATAGCTGTATTAGTAACCTTTGTAAAAACTACTTGTGATGTCCAGAGAAGATAACTAAAATTGCAGCTGGGAAGTAACGTCAGGAATAATAAACTCTTTAAACCAATCTTCACTGTTTTCATGTGAATAACTTGACAGTAATGCATCAGGAAAATAAAAATCAGGAAATAGAAACATAGTGATGTAAAACATAGGTGTAAAGCAATGCACTCATAATAGCAGGAATAGAATTTGTGGGCAAATCTAGGTAGAGTGATACCAAGAAATTCTCCTGGACTTAGTTCTTCACTTTGTTGCAGACAACAAAGTAGTCATCACAGAAAGAACTATCATGAAAATGGAAAAGAAGACTACAATGCAAGCTGTTGACTTTGGTTAATGTTTTTGTAAAACTGTCAGGAAGACATAAAAAAGAATTGGATGAGAATGAGAACTTTAAGTAAAAAAGAAGTTGCTGGACCTATTCCATAGTGTCAGCTGCCATTCCACTGTCATGGTGGGAGTAACCGATTTATTGCATGATTATGGAGGTGCCTTCTTAATGTATATTTCAGTAGAAGGTTCTGAATACTAAAAATGACAAAGCTAGCCAGCAGTCTCTTATGTGATCACACTTTCAGGTGTCTGTCTGAACAATTGTGTAAATTCAGAGAGGGTGGCTCCTTTTAGCCTCTGAGCTATCACTCAACATTAAAATCCTGAAGGTTCCAACCATATTTCATCTGGCCCTTCTCTGATAGTGAGTAGCAGCAACTATTGGGCAGAATACAAGAACCTGAAGTATTGTCCCCACATTTCTTCATAAAAACATTTGGGCTTCACCAAATAGATAGAGTGGCTGTAATGATGCTGTGGCATTACCAGACTGAGTCCTCTAAAAACATTTTCCATGTAAGGCAATAGGACACTCACTCTGTCAATACAAATTTGGGATGATTATGGCATTTTATGAAAGGGATTGTTGTTATTCAGATTTGGGTTGGTTTTGATTTTTTTTTTTTTCACAAAAATAATAGTATATCAGTATATTTAGATGCACAGAAGGGAAAGCTACAAAACTCTAGACCAGAAATGGATTTATTTATAAGTTATGAAATATGAAGTTATCCTTAAATACAAATAGTAATAGAAACAAACAGAAAGCTTGTACAAAGGTAACAGAAGAATGCTTAAGTGAACAAGGTCATGCTGGAATCATGTGAACAGAACTCGTGATTTTCTGTGATCATTCACTTACATTTAAAATGAAACTAGGTCCTGACCTCTGTGGTTTACAATGTAGGGGGAATCTGGAAATCTTGCCCCAAACTGACAATCCATTGTTTATTGAGAATCATATGGGCTTAGTATTACAAATCTATGTCCACGTAAAACAGGATAAAATACTATTTTCTAATATTTTTCATTCAGCTATCTTTTCCAGAAATGTTTCAGCAACCATGCTTCAGCAACCTGTGTGCCATATGTGAAAATATCTGAGTTATGAATTTGCTGAATTCCTTTCCAAAGAAGATTTATTCTCCAGCGACTTTGAGCTCAGCATGGGTAAAGTGGTAAGCATGAAGATCAGAAGGTTTTTCCTTAATTCTGGATTGATTCAGATGCTTTAATATAATATTGTTAAGTTTCTTCAGCTCCTCTATGTTCTTCTTTTCAGATAGTAGTCTGCTTGATATTTGGTCCACCTCATTTCTAGTTTGAACTTGAAAAGGAAAATGTACCATATTAAATTGGCAACACTTAAGTCAAGAGCATCACTACCTTCACTTGTATTTCCGTGAGACTTTGTAAGGAATTATGATGACTAAAAATATTTAAAAAGAACACAACTGCGGAACTTAATAATAAGTTAGTTATACATCTGGTGGGTTTACCTGCTCACTACATTATTTTTTGCTTGTTTGCTGGATTCTTTTTTTAGTTTAGTGCAGACTAATAAAATCATATATGGCTCAGATAATTTTTGCAGTTTTCAGGAGCATATCCATCAGTGTCCACAGGTAAATGTCTTATTTAGGGGCTCCAAAATCCAATTTGTGGTTAAGTATGTGCATATATTTTTATTTTAAATTAAAGAAAAATTATTGCAAATACTGGCATTTCAAGGCCAGCCTTCTCTGGCACACCAATATGCACTTTTGGAGCTATTTTTATTTTGACCTTCTGAAGTTAAAAAAATTTACCCATGGGTTTTGAAATTTGTTTCATAGTGGCAATGCTAAGTAAATCTATGCATGTGGTTTACAAACATGCCAGATTATATAACACACTATATCTATACGTATCTAATAAAACATTGTAACATAAACTGAAACACCACTGGAAATCAGTTTCAAAAGCTGCAGGCCTCCACCAACCTGAGCCAAATCAAACTGCTTTAATTCTTGTAACAAAGTTTTTCACTTTAGTTTATATTTTTTTTCCCACAAGAGTGACCCAATCCTATTTTTTCTATATCAAGTCTCTTCTTTTAGCAGCTCCATGTTAAATAAACCTGAAACTCAAGTATGAGATATTTCAACTAGGATTTTGCAATCATGTTACTTAAAATCTACGTTATGTTCTTTACTTGTCTGATATTTCTTTGAGTGCCTGTAAAAAAATTTAGCCAAGGCTAGAATTTCCTGGCCTAGAAGAATAAGCAGGATTTTCTTTATGTTTCAGCAAATTCCCTACTACAGGATATAAGAAATCTTGACTTCATATGGGTTCCAATTATTTCAAAATAGACTTATAAATTGAAATCATGCACCTCAGATTCTGTTCAATATTATTAGCTCAGAAAACCCCAAGATGACAACAGTTCCATTAATCAGCCATGTCTTTAGCTAAACCTGCCTGATCAGTCCTAAAAGTTGGAACAGTAATTGTGTCTACAGATTCAATGCTACATGCAAATCTTGATAAATGTGTAGTTCTTTTTCTTATGCTTAAGACCTTCTTAGTTCCAAATCAATTTCCAGTCAGTACTTTGATGACAAAGGGTCAGGTCTTGCTTCAGGTAGCCTGATTTAAATGTTAGCCTGGGTGGAATTCCAGTTTCAGTGGAATGACCCCAATACTGAGTTTTATCTGGAAAGGAATGGAAGGCACATTGCCAAAGTATCCACTGCCATACAATTACCCTTAAATTTTAATTTCATTTCCAGTCAGCATTTTTAGCAACACAGTACAATGCTGCTGAGGTAAATTCTTCACAGATGTTGAAGCTCACAAATCCTTAGCACTAAGAATAAAATTGTGCCTTTTAGCCCTGAGAGAGTGTTGTTTGCCTGTGCTTCTGCCCCTAGGAACACGATCCAGTGCCCAGCCAAAGCCTTTGACCATGCAAATACAGGAGTAGAATGTTGTAAGGTAGCATGACACATTTCAGCAAAATTCTTTTTTGCAATCGACCCTATATTTTTAAGAACTACTCTTTGGTTTACTTACATATTAAGAATATTACAAATGAAACAAGTACCAAACTGATGACCAAAATAAGAATAAAGATGCCGAAGAACAAACACTGGTTTCTTGTGTTGCTCCCTCCCATGCTTTCTCCAGTACCACCAGTGTTCTCTTCCTGATCTGTTAAGAGATGACAAATCATTTGGTGATACAGTTTTTCAAGGTTGGTTAGGATAAGCATAAAAAAATGCTTCTGGCTTCATGGAATGATGCAGGATACATCGTATATTTAGTCAACAGATTTTATTTCCTGTGATATTTTATGAAAAGGGAAGAAATCAACTTTATGAAGTCAGCTTGAATTTGGAAATATAAAAAATTATGCATCTGTTGTAGTTGTTAGAACACACTCAACAAAAATGTTTCTGTTGTTGAAGTACAGTGTTTTGTTGAAGTTGACCTGTTTTACCATTTAGAGTTTTACAGCCATTTTACACATACCTTTGTATGCAATGCAAATTTTTTGTTTGTTTTGTTTTGTTGCAATGAAGTTTTCATCAGGCAGCTTTGTAAGGGCTTGATTGCATTTAACCTTTTCAAAAGGGATGAAAGAGAAATTCATATTGAAAACCATTCATCCTCTAGATATGCTTCTTTTTCTGTTTAATGAGAAGTATCCCAGGGATGATTAATTTCCCAAAGTAAACATCTCAGTTAAGCTCCTAATGTTGTATAGAATGAATGTACGTCTTGACTGTTTTATCTTAAAACAAATGTTTTCAATATTCTTCATCTTTAGGATTTGTTGGTTTCATTCCAGTAAAAAATGAGGTACCTATGCTCACAATTGTCAAGAGTGGAACAGACTATCGTATGGACTACATATGTTGTCCTTTAAGCACAGGAAGAATGAGGGGGAAAAGGAAAGGCACTTGCAATGCTGACCTTGAATCAGCTTAACAAGCCAGTTCATTGCTTTTTAAAGAATGTGTCGCATATATAGGGAAAGTCAGTAGTTTGTCTCATAGAACCAGTTGCAATCAATGTGAGGTGGCAGTAAGCCCCAAAGATATCAAGTCAAGTTAACACCATGAGGAAATTCTTGTGAATGTAAAAAATTTACACTTGAGCCAGATTTGTTTAATCTTAAATTTGTGTACTACTGCAATAATTCACAAAGATTTGGGTTTATTTTCTGTCTTGAAGGGAGGAGGAAGCTAATGTAATTTCACTTTGGTGTCAGTCTCATACATACTAAAATTACATGCAAATTACTGTAATCTATCCTTCTGTAATTGGTGTCTTGCCACTCTGAAAGGGAAAGTAGCACGTGCATCTGTGAAAAATGTATTTCTAGACCACGTTCTTGTTTTAGCTGGTGGAAATCTCTGAGATCTTTGCAACTGAGCCTGTAATGATAAAGCTGAGGAAAGGCTTTATATGTCATTATAGCACTTTAATAATGACCCTACCTAGGGCTGAGCAATTCACTGAGCTGGTAGATCTCAGGGAATATCTCTGGTTTTCTTTATTTTGTGTTTAACCCACTCCTGTCCATGAGTAAGCTGAAATATTTTCCTATTTGTCCTTTGAGGTTCTCTTGTTATTCCCTTAGCATTCATAACAAATGTGCCACACACTAAGTGTCTGCACCAATATTGCTTTGTAATCAGAATAATAGGGATGGGCAGGGCCTGCTACTGCTGCCTGCCAGGCATCCAAAGTTATCAATAGTGGTCTCAAAAGTGCTCTGAGCTCACTCTGCCTAATGAATGCTTCTTACTGTTTAATCAGGCTGAGCATGCCAGGCTGTAGTGTTGTGAGGATTGGTGAGCACACATTCTTGTCAAACTGCAAGCAGTGGGAACTTTTTATCATCTAAAACATTAAATTACTGCATGGCTTCTACTAAAACAACCAAACAGTATATACATTTTAAACAGCTTTTGACATATCTGTGATTTTCTGGCAAGAGAACTAGAGTTTATGCTGCTGAGTAAGGTAGCTGACAGGAAGAGATATCTACAGACTCTCCAAGCTTAAAAGCTACATTAAAAGAATAATCCTAGAAGGAGCATAAGGGTTTTATAAATTTATGAATAAAATACTTACTAAACTACTATTTTTTAATGTTGAAATGTAGGGAAGGGCATGAATATGATTATTCCAGAGAATCACATATGTTTCCATAGAACCTTGTATATTTACCCAAAAAGTCAATAATACTGTCCAGTAAAATTGCAAAAGAAAGCAAAACAGTTACACTGAGTTTCTTTAAAATTAAAATCTATGTACATCATTGTCTTATTTTCTATGTGTAGAAGAGACAATATCAAGATAATCTGAATATGAGAATTTAGTACTCTATGTCTAAAATGTTTGCGTTAAATGTAGAAACCAGTACCACTCAAGCTAACTGGATTAGGAAAAGTTAGGGGACTTGGAAACAGAAGTAATTAGAAAACACTTAAGACCCATAACTAGAAGCATGATTAGGTTATGGCCCCTCAAAACACATTCCAACATAGCTGTTGATCTATAAATTTCTTCACTTAAATTTGCCATTACAATAAGGGAAGTAAAAGCAGACTCAAATATTGTTATGTGGAATGCTGCTGAAGACCTCCAGGTTTTAAGATATTTTCATGTCACAAAGAACTCAAACTGTAGCTATCACCAGGTGAAAATATTCTTGTTGCTGTGAGAAATCAAAGGCAAAAGCCTTATCAAATCAGTAGAAATGTGGGAGCCATAACTGAAACTGTAAGTAAAGAAAGTCCAGAGAGTAAAATGCTTAAACGTTTCACAGGATATTTCAGGTAACTGGTTTGAGTTCTTAGGAAATGTGTCTTAAAGGAATGAACAGAAATTCTCAGGTGATTCTATTGCCAGATATGAATTTTAGTGCTTGGGAAGAGCTATGATGCTATTTACTTAGTAGGTGTATATTGGACATTACTATAGAGACATTATCCTGCAAGTGATCACCTCATAAATCCCAACTGAAATGGAAGATAAGTTCATGTTGGACAGTAAATCCCTAACTAAATGGAAGGATTTTCAGGAACCTAAAGCAGAAATACTGAGCAGAGACAGCTAAATCATTGTCTGATTTAAATTATGCCATTTTCAATCTTTTTCATACATTTTTCAATACAGAGCTTGGCATACTTATTGGCCTCTTAGGCTGTTACCTCAGTGACGCACAGTATGGATTGTATATATAGAAATCCACAGATCACCTGTCATACATACCTAGTGAATGCTGGGATTCAGCTGGGCAAACATTTAGCTTGTTTAGGTTGTTTAGGGAATCAACTACATAAAGTTTTCCTTCTTCATGAGTATCAGGCAGGTTAAATTCCAAGGGAGGCTTCTCCATTGTCTTAGTATATTATCCTTTGATACGGTGAGTACTTGGTAAGATGTGGTGTGAGATCCTGACCACAGTGAAAGCCAGACCTTCACTAACACTTCCAGAAAAGATGTCATTCAGGTCCTCTTCTTTCAGCATCAAGTAATTGAGAGATAAGACAGGGAAAGCAGGTATGAATGCAGAAATAAGCAACAAGAGTATGTGTCTGTTTATACACCTTAGAATATCACTGAAGTTATTATTTGTGAAAATGGAACAAAAAAATAGTAGTCTTGTAATACAGTTCTACTTCACAGAGTTTTGGACAAATTTAAAAAGTTTTTCTTCAGACTAATACCCCTTGCTTTAAAAAAGGCACTGCAGGAGGTTCAGTTAGTAAAAACAGTTTCACTGTAGAGTCCAGGTGCATGAACTCAGTGAATGATCCTTAATATAGTTTTGAAAGAAGATTATATATAGAAAATAAGCAATTTTAGGGAAGTGGCTTCTATGTATTGCACATTATTCCTTATCAGTATTTTGCTTTTCTTTACACTACTCTGATAGCAAAAATGTCTTTTGAAACAATCTAGAAACTTCTAGCTATAAGGAGATGCAGACACCCTAAGTAGGCATGTTTGTCTACAATTGTCACTGAAAACTCCCTCTGTAATTATTGAAGAAAAACACATTCGTCCAGATAATATCCCTCTTATTCTAAGATATCTTTCTCACCTTAGAACGACAACTTAAATGTACATTTTTCTTGCTAGTGAATGTACGGAGGGAGCCCCCACAGATTAGTTTAAATTGGGAGTAGAATGCATCTTATCCATTTAGTATTTTATAAAGCTCCCAAGTTCAGTTTTATCTGCCAACATAAATCAGCACTTCATGGGATGCAAACCTCCCTTGATGACATGTGTTAAGCACCCAAGGGTGATTTCTGAATCCTAGATGGGTTGAACTGTCCTCCTGACATTCTTCTGAACCTTCTCTTCCTCTCCGAGGAATACAGAACACAGTGTGTCCAGCTTCTTTATATAACACTTAAATTAAAAACCTAAAATTTTAGCCCTGATGGTTTGCAGACAATACTCACTCCTTCCCTCATCAAACCAAATGCAGAAGATTGTTGTAATTCCCCCAAATCTAAGCACAAAGTAGACAATGAGCCTCAGTAACTGAAGACCAAGCACTGAAACCAATCCTGACAACGGGACAACGGGGCTTGTTCTCCTGCTAGTGGAGACTGACAGGACTATATGGATACTTTCATTTCTTTTTAACACCCCATAAGAAAAGAGTACAACTATTTTTTTTTCTCTCTGTTCAGAAGTGTTGCTTCAAAGCACAAAGAAAATGCAGAAAAACTGGCATAATAGGGGTTAACCTTACCTAGTATATGATTTTTAGGTGTGCAGCAGTAGCTTCCGGACAGAGGGCTGTGCCTGCTCTCCTTCCTCTAGAACATGACATGGTACCAGGCAGCAGTCTGTGAGCCACGTCCCACCAGAGCTGGCTCTGTTCTGCTGTCTCCCCACATGTACATCCTCAGCCAACGCAATCACTATGGAGCCCTGTGTTTGAACAGTGTGCTAAAAGTTACCACTTTGGGCACAAAGGCTAATGGTTATTTTTGGGATTGCGAAGAGCAGTTGTTTCTCTATTTTGATTAATGCCTCCCTGCAGCTTCAGGGAAGACTCTTCTTAACAACTTGAGCTGTAATAAATGCAAGTACCTTTGATTCATTAGTATTATGAATTATATGTTTCTGCACTTGCTACTAATTATTTAAGTATTCGCACATGTAAACACAGTGAAGATTACCATTATTAATTCAAAAAAGTTTGTATTACATTTGTTTGATTGCATTGACATGCCAAAGGAAAAAGGATAAAACATCAGTGTCACTGGACAAAAGTTTTGATTATTTTCCCAACAAACCAATCTAAACATTGGGACCTTTGGATTCACTTTATCTTGTACTTTCACCTTGCCTAAAGAATTTTTTCCCCCATGCAACTTTTAAATTTCTTCTTAAGTTGTTGCGGTAAAAAGAAAAACTTAGAATGAGAACACACTGAAAGTTCTTTACAGAAAAGAAAGAAAATAAAATCTAAAAAGAAACAGGAGAATAAAACATTACTTACAACATTCAGATAATGTGCCAGTATGGAAGAAATCAGACAGTGAAAATCATGTGAAGAAAACTTGTTCTGAAGTTCCTTTCTCTACTTTTAGTCCCATAGGAAGCTGTGGAGTCCTGCAGTACCCATAAAGATAGCTATGAAACAGACTGCCCCTCAGTCTATTTTTAGAGTTCAACATGGCTAAGTATACTCACTTCACAAAACCGATCTGCTAAAACTGAAATCGGCACATACACAGCTTTTTATTATATTGGAGTCATGATAATATCCCATCATGGAGAATGAGGGTTGTTACTGATGATCAGTATTTCGCTAACCTTTTGGTTAGTGCTAAACCTCTCAGGTTTAGTGCTTGTCTAAAACGCATTTGCCATGATGAAGTCATATCTGCAACACTGTACCTATGAGTAACCAGTTTGCTATGCAGCAGAGTCCTATCTACAGTATTGCAGTCATAAGTACTTTAAAGTCACAGATCAGAAAAACCAGGGTCTTTCCCCCCTTCTCCCATATACTCCCATATACTTTATGAATTCAAATGTATTCAAATTCAAAAGTATTATACGGTGGACTAATTTGTCTGCCATACTTAGTTGTTCAAAGATTAAATTCTGATGAACTGGTGGTGAGTAGTGCAATTGATCCTTTCCTGACAGTTCTTTTGATCACCTTTTCCCTTGCTGACACTGCAGAAGGCAGTGTTACTGCACACGGTATCAAGAGGCAGCTGACAGACAGGACTGCAGCTCAAAACAACAAATCCTTTCTGAAGCCCTCCCATGTCTAAAATTCTGAATCCCTTTAAACTGCCCACAAACACATTTATCTCTCAGAAAACAACAGAATAATGAGCCTGACTCATATTTCCCACCCTAAGATGCCATGTTCTGCTGCTCAGAATTGCTCCCTTTCTGTAGAAGACTCCTGGACGTCCTCCCTGCAAATAAGGATGTGTAAGCCAGAACTAAAAAAAAAAAAAAAAAAAAAAAATAAAACCCACAAAAAAAAAACCCAAAAAACCAAGTGTGATTTCCATACCCTAAAAACTCCTGACACCAACATAAATGTAAGAGAAGGACCCAGGCCTCTCCAGTTCTAAGCTTCAGAAGATCTGCAAACCCAAAGGATGGCTGCAGGACTGTGGAAGAGCCACCTCTGCAACAGCCCTGGAAGCCACGCGGGTCACCGTGGGTGGCAGCTACACTGTAAGTGGGAAAAGAGCAAGCACCTGCTTGGCCCCCTGCCAGGAGGTGCTGCAGAAACTCTGGGCAGGAAGCTATCAGAAGTGCCTGGCAAAGGACACCAAAGGTGACTATGCAGAAGCCACAGGAAACAACAGCTGGCTCCAGGGAACAGTGTAGCTTAAAGGGAATGGTCTTGGGCTGGGCAAGTACAGGCACACAGCTTCACCTCGTTCAGGGATCAGGTTTTTCTCTGCTTGTATGACACTGACATGAGTTCATCATCAGTTTTGTGTAGTCCAAGTGATCAGTTTTGCAAGCCAAACAAGTTCTTACATAGAGGAGTATTTGAAGGGTGAAAAAAAGAGGGTAAAGTAGAAAGTACAACTCATTGACTTTCTGGAATAGGTTCAGCTGTAATCAGAAACTGGGAGGGGAAAAAAAACCCAAAAAACAACCAACCACTCCACCCCAAAGCCAACCCTCCCTTATCAAAGCAGGCAACAGTTTCCAGGGGGCAGTGCTGTTTTCAATGCTATGTTTACTTATCTGCTGCTAAACATTTTAAGAACGTTTATTTGAACAAGCACTTTTATAGATCTTCAGATTCAAAGCTCCACCCATCTAGGTTTTAGTAACTTAACACCTCGCCGCCCACTGTTCCTAAGTTCTGTTACTGGCACATTTCAGTCCTATAAAATCAGAAGTTGAGGTTAAAAGAGTAGTTTTCAACACGATGATAACAGGGAAGGTGGAATGGTTCCTCTAAGTTAGAGGACGTGTTCAACAGCACCAAAACCAGAAAACTTTTGACCATTGGAGAAGCAATGACAAATCAAGATTAGACTGTTGTGCAGACCACATGCAAGTATGAGACACCTTTGAAACACAGCAAGGTAGACTTGCATGTACTATCTCCTAACACACTGGGAATACCCCAAGCACATGTTTGAACCAGCAAATAAACAAACCCATCCCTTTCAACCTTTAGGTTTTACCAGTGTTACAGCTTTTCATTCATATATAATTATTTATAAAAATAAATAATTATTTTTACAGAGAGCCAGCAGTGAGAAACATCTTTATTCCAAAAATTAAATATTCAATTTCAGAACACAAGAATCTTGCTTTTATTTTACATGGAGGCAAGTATTTGTAATTGCAATAAGTATTTGACTGTCAGTGGAAGTTACTGAACTTCATTGTCCCTTGTCAGGAGGAAGTTATACTTACATAGGAATTTCTTGTCCATCTACCACTGAAGAGTTCTAAAAAGTTACTAAAATAATTCCACACAGACATGGTCATCTTTCCATATTAGCACATTCATACCAGAACACTTGGTCAATGAATTCCTTTACCTTTATATAAAGGATCCAATCTGACACACAGCATTTGAGTACAGTTATCCACCCCATTTAATGCACCAGTTACACCATAATCAACCTTTGGAGCTAGGAGGGGGGGCTACTGTAAGGTAATATAATGTATCCCTGTACCAAATGTTACATCAACCTATATACAATGTATATGCAACTAAGCAACAGCATGCATTATATTTACAGACTATGTAACAAAGCCGTGCACAACTTCAAACTGACTACACAAGTTAAAAAATTCATTCAAATGTTACAAATTTATTTGAATTATGAAAATTGAACGCCATTGAAAGGGAATCTAAAAAAATTCCCCCACATCTGCTCTTTTATCACGACATTTACTTCTAGCCTTTGTCCGAGCCTTGAATGCTGCAGAGTTGTACAAGTGCTACAAAATAAAAAAAGAAAAAATAATTACATATTGTCAAAAGGCTTATGCCCTTGAGAGATTTTTCATGTTACAAAACAAATTAAAATATCCTTTTATTAATCTTTGAAGTAAACTGGCAGGCCTTTTGAAATTTATAGTATGCTATCTTTGCAACCAAAGGCTAATTTTAGTATATATATATATACAGACAGATATATATTTAAAAGAAACTTGGCCTGTATAAGAAATGCTGAGCTATGAGCAGTTCTGGAAGCCAGTCAGTCTTAAACATCAAGCAGATACCATGTAGGCTACACTTACCCCCAGATTAAACTTGATAACACCATTCCCCAAATTATATGCAGGATTAATGCATTCACAATCAACATAAGGCCAACCTCCTGGCATCCATTTCATACTGCAGAGTTTGGGATACAGTCTTTATAAAGACTCCGTTCCCACAGTTTCCTGTGGGTCCCTCCCCAAAAACATGTATCTCTCAGAAGAGAACAAGTTACACATGCGTGGAGAATGAATCTAGCAACCCAACACCAACCACAACCTTCAGACCCCTTGGAAAAAACACAGAAACAGACACACGCCCAGCACAAAATCTAAAAGCTCACAGACGCATACAAGTACGGCTGGGTTTCATTCAGGACAATATGAGGCACTCTTAGAACTACAGTGACAAATGTTAACAATGACAGCTTCTGAAGTGCAGAATTAGAGTAGAAAGTAAAGAAAATTCATAAAGGTGGAATAACATACCCTTTCAAAACGGGATATCTTCATTGTTTTAAGGGTGGCAGCATCCAGCATTACTGGTGGACCAAGCTCAAACACATTCCGAAGAAAGTCATTTGACTGAAACAAGAAACACATCAAATTATCAGCTTCCCCTCTGTATCAAGTCTTTAGAGTTGACTTTGTAAAATATCAAGTATTCCAGTAAGAAATACTAAGATTTGTGTCAAATTGCTATCTTTTGTAATTAAGTCAAGAATACTTCCTCCCCTTCACCAGAATAAGGCTAAAAGCGAAAACTGCCACCTTGAGAAGACAGACAGCTCCTCCTGCCTTCCTTGATATTTTTGTCCCAGCAAATGAGACACTTCTGTTCTACACAATATCAGGCAGCTGAACAGACCTGTATGGTTTCACAACACACCAGTTTTAAAATATCTGGCTGTGAAAGTAGTACTTCAAAAAACTGAAAAAGCTGCTACGTGCCTGAGCTCCCTCAGTCACACAGAAATTCAAATAACACAGGACTGAAGAATTTAACCCCATGATTATCACAGCAATTTGGGAGCATACATTCCTAAGCTATAGCTCCTGCTTCTGTAACATATGTAAACAGATGACTAGTAAACAAGCAGTTCCCAGAACAGAGATAAAGATTTATGCTTTCTCTTCTGGAATGCTGCCATCATTAGGCTGCAATAGTTGTGTTCATTATTTTTTACTAAAACTTTGCCCTTCTTTGACAGGTTTGAATAGGAAGAGTGGAGGCATGCAGCTTTATAGCAGACAGATGACTATACCACTCTGCTGAAAGAGAGCATAAAGATTCATGAAAAACTCTGAAGCTAAAAAGATATTCAGCTTAAATTTCTTACTTCTTGGAGAAGTCGATTACTAAGCTAGCACATCCAGGCTACAACTCAGAAGCAGCTTATCCAGACCACTCTAGCTCACTGTAGTTACTTTTTTAAGTGCTATCTTTTAATAGCTCAAATGCAAAGCTCATCACTTCACTAAGTTATACTCAGGATTTTGTAATTCAGACTGAATTACATCAAAGAAGCCAGGCAGGGAGCAACAGTCTGAGCATGTGTCAAACAGCAGGTCACCTGCAAATGATATTGCATCCCCGAGCCCAGAATCTCCTTGAACGTCTCGTAAGTTTGTTTTTTAACCCAGCAGTCAATATACATGCGCTCAGGTCCAAACTTCACCATCTCTGTAGGAAAGTCACGCTCCTATGCAAAAATCAAAGGAAACAACATCTAATCATTTTAATTGAAACAGCCTTTTGTACTGGGAATTTTACAGAGCTCAGCAAACTTTATTTTCACTGATAAATTTAGCAATCCAAAACCTTCCAAAGAACATAGTACACATATGCTACAGATTGTATTTGTTCATAAGGCAGAGGCATACCTAAATTTCATGTAGAACTTGAAGCTGATATTCTTCATGATTAAAAACCTTAAAAAACAAATGCTCAACCTTAATCTTTAAAATTTCTCTAAGAATTGCATTTACCTCCAGGAAAACCAGTTCTGAGTGCAGAAGTCACCTCTAAGTCAGCCTGTAAGCCTCATTTTAGTCTCTACATTACAGA